AAAAAAAAAAAATGTATTCAAAAAAATTCCAGAACCCAATCAAAATTATATTCAAGCCAAAAACCTTTTCATTCACTTATTTATATTTTGAATACATTGCTGTATTTTTCAATGTTCAAGACCACAACTTGAACTTTCAGGTTCACATTTTCTTTTCAAATGAACAAAACTTTTGACCTGGATTTAGCTCCATAATTGTCAAGCAAACTCTCAAAATCTAAACTTTGAGTGCTGAGTCCTAAACCAGTCATAATGCACTCTTCACTAAATGCAATGCCACTTTAACTACCGAGTAATAATGATTTACATTTACAAAAATCATGAATGCTCTTTAAAATGTTTTCATTTGTTAAAACAAATGCGACTGAACAAAAAATAAATAGTGCTGACATTTTATTTTGTGTTTCTGCCCTGTCTTGTTATATTTAACTGTTAAAGTGATATTTTTATGTTTTAAGTCTAAATTAATTAAAAAGATGAATTAAAAAGAAAAGCAATGGATAAGTCCTTGAATAGCGTTTTAGTTACTCTGTGAAGAAAATAATCCGATTTTCTTTTCCGACTGGCACTCTGTAAACTAACTGTTGTGATTCTCTCCTGCAACTTGATTGGATGCCGTCGGATTGGTTAAAACTAAAAGGATCTGGAGAACTAAGCGTCGACTTGCTGGAAGTGAATAGAGAGTTAACGTTAGTTGATTCAGGAAATTAATTTGATTAGTGGCACACTTCATAAAAACATACTTTTTAATCTTTGGGCTTTGGGTAAAGTATCAACTTCTCACACCAACACATTCACAGTCACACGCCTGCAATATGTTCACGTATAATTTAACCCTTTAATGTTGGACGTGGAAGTGTAAGGTTCATTTTGAAGCAAAAACATCCCCAAGACTCAGCAGTAATTTAGGATACATTACCCTGAAACAAGTTAGTAAAAAAACATCACAGTTGAAGCAGGCAGTTCTTAAACCTTTTATAATGTGGCCAGAAATGTCTGCTGACAGCTCAAGGTTAGATTTGTAATTCTGATGTCACATAGTTTTTACTGCACAGTGAATGGAGGAGGTGTGAAGTTTAATTTTCAGTTGTTTTAGACACAAGTTGACATGAAAGGCATAATTGGATTTGAAGTAAATATTGTAGGATGGAGTGAATCTGCTTCCGTGTACCAGAAGTGACCAGTCTTGAAGCAGAAGCCCCTTCAGTGAAAACCTCAGATCCCCAGGGAGTCTTTCTGCACGTTGCAACCCAACAGAGCATTTCCTGCTTCCACACACTCCTTCACACATGACGCTGAAAAACASACACAACACAAGTCATCAGCGGACTGAATGTGGGCAAACAGATGATTTTAACCAGCAAACACTGTTAAAAACAACAGATTAACACTTACTATTATGGTTTTTACCTTTCTGAGCTCGGAGCCATGACACAGCCTTCATAGCCAGAAGCTCCCACTCTTCCTGAGCATCCATCTTGAAACCATGAAGCCAGGTCAGAGCCAGAATGGTGGCCCACACGTCCTGGTTCACCTGATTCACCAAATCAAAGAATACAAAACTAAATCAAAAAGAACAAAGAAGATATAGCACAAAGGAAAAATCTGACTTCCTAACAACATAACAATAATTGAAAAAAAGAAACTTAAATACTGTCCATTGAAAAATAAATCCCATTATTAATTTGTGTTATTATATTTGACAATAACTCACCGATGCAGGCTTTGGCTTCTCCACCTCCTCGCTGGTCTTTCCCAGTGCAGCAGCCAGATCTGGATCCAGCACCCAGCAGCCAGACGCCTTCTGGAGGGAGACCAGCTGCAGCAAAGGGTCTCTGGGTGGCTGTTTGGGCAAGCCGGCTTTGGAGGAAAACAAATCACAGTGGGAAGATAAAAATAATCTCTGTGGTTTATTGGACTGGTATGTATTTAGAGCAATCGTTTTAGTTTTGTCTTTTTTCTTATTGTTTTCCTATTTGATACTGACGTATTGATGCCAGTATATTACAGGAAATAAATATGAGTGAATTACTGAACTAAAAAGTGACATGCTGAACTTGAAAACACTGATTCACATTTCTCTTTTCAAATAATATTGTTGCTCCTTATTTGGAATCGGTTTTCACCTTTCATCATTACCTGCTAGCTACTAATTAGCTATAAACACAAAGTAGAGCCGATGGGCTGATCTCATTAGTTTTGCAAGTATTTCGTCATTAATCAAAGTATTGGACAAATAAAAAGTTCGACCTGATGAAAGCACTGGATTTAAAGTCAGATAATCACCAAATGTATTCCAAATCATCCTGAGGGAGACATGAATGTGTGTACAAAATGACATGGTAATAACACAACAGTTGTGAGCAGGTGTATCTTCAATAACCTTACTTACTCAAGCTACATGGATGGGGTTTAATTTTAAATCCGGTTCCCATGTACATCGCTTAAAGAGAAAAAGAGACGTAGAACATTACACAAAAGCAACAACAGTAAATACAAGGAAGGAACTTAAATTGTAAGATGCAGAAATTCTCAATGTATAAACCACTGCACCAGAAACCAGTGAGTACAAAGAAAATAAACTATTTAAATCAATAACAGCCGCGTCAGCGACACTGGTATTGTTTTCACTTAGTGAGCCTGTGTGTGAGTGTTTAAATTTCTGTCTGCGGACATATTTTGTCACTGCCATAACGTCGCAACCGTGCAAGATGCAGTCACAAAGCTTTACAGGTGTGTCGTTGAGGTCAAAATGAAGGCAGAGTTCTAAGATGGGTGTGGTTCGACCAAGGGTGCCGGCAATAAGAGGGATGCAAAACGATCCCATTGCAAAAACGGTCTCTAGTTTAATTATATCTTTAAAAATATAATAATTACATATTAAATCATAAACAATGTGAGTAACTAATATTTTAACACAGCAAACTTACAGTTCACGACAACGTTAATGAGGCTGTGACAACAACTAATCATCGAAATTAGCCCTCCCATATTTAAACTTCATGTGACTCCAGCTAGCTGCATTTGCAGAATAAAACTATTATTTAGATCATTTCTCATTTCAACGTCCTGCTGATTCCAGTGATGACTGAGTTTCCACAATATTCAAACTCTGTCATAATAAACACTAGTCCATCCACTGCTCTGCTGGGGAAGTAAATCATTAATTGTCTTTGCCACAAATCTAATGTGGTGCTTTAGAAATATGATCAAATTTCCTATGCAGATACCTGCTGTTGTATAGTTGGGTAAGCCAGGCATCTCTTTGGGGCATAACAGCCCATGGTGATGTAAAAAATGTTTTTGGGTATGTTTGTTTAGAGAACAAAAGGCCCTGAAAGTGAACTGTTACATTTATCACACGGTAAAATCTGTAATAGTGAAACCAGTATGATGTGGTAGAGGAAAATAGTAAGACTTACAATCATCATAATCACACTCCTCGGACTCATCACGCTCACTGGACAGAGACATAGGCTTTAGGCTTGCGTAGCAGTGAGAAACACCATGACTCTCCAGAGAATTCTTCTGTGGTTTCATTGAGGCAACTAGCTTCTTCTTCAAATTGGAGAATACATTTCGGCTGGCGCCTCCCTTCTCTCTGCTCTTGCAAGCTGTTGAGAGAGCACACAGCCTGATTATTATCCATTGTGACTCATCATTATTATTGTTATTAATATAAATATTACCATTAGTATTGCTAAACCATTATTAGTAGTATTAGTATTGTTATTAGCATGAGTATCAAAGGAACCAAGAGCCACATTGGGCATTTTGGTGAAGTATTCCTTCATATTATTTATTCCTCTCAGCAGAAGTTGTTTTCATAATAAGTCCACTGGCCGCGGTCATTGCCATGAAGCAACGTGTTCCCCAATGGCATGTCTCTTTAATGTGGCACAATGACAACTCCAGAAGGATCTTAAAACAAGGGAACGAAGAAGGTTCTGCTGTTTGAAGGAGCTCTCCATAAATCTGAGCAGTGACGAGGATTCTGCTGAGAGTCCTGGGCAACTATATGTTGCATATGTCCAGGACTGCCAGAACTCCTACATACAGTAGTTCATGCTGTTTGCTCTGCGTCTATCCATGTATTGTATTTATAGTAATACACAATTGTGTGTTAAAAATCACAGTTACCTTGTATACTTACATTTAGTACGACCATGGCTGGTAATAGATAAGTCTTCAAAGATATTAGGGTTAACTTTGAGGTTAAAAAGATAAAGAGAAATAGGTCAGGACGTTACCTGATAATGATGAAAGATAAACATTAACTGCTAAACTAGTGGTTTCTGAGATTAGTTCAATGACCAGGCGGCAATCTCCCGTACTGAAAACTGAAGCCAATGCTGAAGTGCCTTAAACTTGCATTATTATTAATGACCAGCAGGGGGCGACGCCACTGATGAAAAAATAAGTTTGATTGTAAAGAACCCTATTTCTAACTTTATTAATTACCTCAGTAAACATGTCCACTTCTTATACACAGTATACTAGAGTTCATCCTGTCTTTGAGATTAAAAAAGTATGAAGTCAATATATGAGCCATGAGAATTGCTAAACCAAAAACATCAACAAAACTACTGGTTTGGGACCTTATTACAATGACTAATAACAAGCAGTTAAAATTGTTCAAAATATCTCAAAAGTGTAGAAAAGTGTGGAAATAGACAGATATGTGCTCCACTCCGATTCAGCTTTGAAGATTTTTACTTACTATTCCTCACAGGAGCACAACAGGACAAATTCTGGGGCATACCCCAGGCCATCATCACTTTGAGATAAAAAAAAAAAAAAAAGTATGAGGTCAAGATATGAGCCAAGACAATAACTAAAGAAACAATATCAACAAAACTACTGTTTTCTGAGCTTATTACAATGACTAACAACAAGCAGTTAAGTTAAAATGTCTCATAAGTTTCCATACAAACAGATGTGCACACGCAAACACACTGAGCACTAAACACATGCTCGCTCTCGTCTCCAAAACAAATTAAAACAGTGATTTGTAGATGATCAGTGAGTTTCTTAATGTTAAAGCACTACATCAACATGCTTCTCTAACTTATCATTCATGGTCAGCTAGTATCTCGTAAGTAGAGCGTAACTGTAGTTTTTTATATTTCCTTGAAAACACTTACTGGGTGTTGGAACATTTCTGCGCACCAGAGGTCCTTGAATAGCTTCGCTGTTGCCTTTGTTGACAGCAATGAAAGCAGTGAAGGCACTGCTCACTCCTGATTGGACACTGAGCTCCACCACCTTCTTCTTCTTCACTTCTCCATCTTCCTCTTCTTCACACTCTCTCTCCTCCATCTCCAGGGAGCGAATCAGAGTCCGAGCAGCCAACCTGTGAACTGTTAATCTGCAGAGAACAGACGTTAACACATCTACACACAGATGTTTATAATAAACATACTAATTATTTATTTTGGGGTTCGTGTATGTTCAGCAGTGCACAGTACCAAGAGATGTCAGTGACTGTTGAGACTGAAATAGTATAGAGCACTTCAACAATATTGCTCAGCTGCAGGGATTCTATGAGTTTCTTTTATCGCTGTACATCACGGTTTGCATGTTTGCAAGTTAATGTGTGTTTTATTTATTTCTATGCAGCATTCTTGATTTTATTTGAATACAACAGAAACCATCTTGAGAAATGTTGGAAACCTATTATGTTATGAACAGTTACCTGATGTTTCATGTAACTTCAGATGCTTTGCAAAGTATTGCATGTATACCTACAGGTATTTAGGAAAAAATGAAGAATTCAATGTCTTGTTTCTTGTAGTGTATTTTTTGACTAAATAATTACATATAAAGCCATTCTGCACATTGTGTGTGTCAGCCACTGAGCAGATCTTTAATGTATCAGTGCAACATTCTTTTATTAAACTGTGTCTTGTTTCTCATCCATAGCTACAGTTTTATTTCATCTAAATAAACTAAATCAAATACATAACAGTGCTGTTTTACCCAGTGTCCTCTGCAGGTCTGAGACTGAAGTGAAGCTGGTTCTGAGAGGGATGACCTGCCAGACTGTACTTCACCGTCACACAGCCCTCTGAGGCCTCTGAACTCTGAGAAAGCGTCACAGAGTTAGAAACCATTTGTATCATCATAGTTGACCTGAGAAATCTAACCAGAAAGTCATTTCACTATAAGGTGTTACTGCTCCTACCTGTCCAGTGAGCTGGGCATAAACCAGTGACCTTTGACCCTGGAACAGTGCTGTGATTGGTGGAGAGAGAGCAGTGATGGAAACTCCCTTTGGCAAATCCCACGTGACTGAGATGTCCACCACAGCTGGTTGCAGAGCAAATCGCAGCGACTGCATCACCTGATGAGTAAAAACAATTTACAAAAAGTTGGAAGAGGAACTGAGTTTTTACCAAATGTGTAAATTTACAGTTCTTATAAATTTGTCGTAATTGCATTTTTCATTAAAATTGATACGGAGGCTGTGATGTCTTACTTTGGGTTGCATCCTGTCCGTCCCTGTGATGAACTGAGCGTGACCTCCTCCTTCCTTGGCCAACCCGTTGATGAGAGCAGAGCTGGCCCCTTCCCCAATCCCAAAAGAGAAACACCTACAATACAGTAGTTTTGTTTTTAACACACGTTTGAAAATGAGACATATTCTGGGAACTGTGTGGGTGTTTTGTTGTGTTTTTTTTATTTCACCTGTGGGAACCTGAGTTCTGCTTCACCAGATTGATGACTTCTTTGGTGTTCCCTACCTCTCCGTCAGTAAAGACAAATAGCTACGGAGGAGAGTTTACACATCACTCTAAGTTACATAAAGTCACACCCAAAACACATGCAGCATATGTCGAGCCATCCAAATATTTCTCTAAGAGCTTTGTTAGATTGCTGTTTCAGTAACATCAGTGCTTCTAAGATAAGACAATCCTGTCTTAGTCCCACACCCGGGAAATTTGCAATTTCCATGGTAATTCTAAAGAACAAGGTGCTGCAAGAATGAACCTGTTAGTAGGAGGTTCTGACTGAATGACACAATAACATTACCTGTGATACTTTAACAGGTGTGTGTGTGTGTGTGTGTGTGTGTGTGTGTGTGTGTGTGTGTGTGTGTAGGTGTGTGCGTTACTTGTCTAGGTTGATTGGGAATGCAGGGCTGACTGTAAATGTGTTTGAGGGGCTCAAGGATCTCAGTTCCTCCCAGATCAGCCTCCATCTTGTCAACTTTCTTCAGAGCCTCTTCCATGGTCTTCTGGTTGTACTCTACACTCTTACTGTCACCAGAAACACACAAACTTTATATTTTACAGTTGGTCTAGTTAATACAACCACAATCTTTCCAATTAAGCATGTCTTCACTGTAGGATGAATTAATTATGAAATTTAAAAACATTGACATCAAACATAATCAATGGTTTTGCAGAATCACTTAATATCACTTATCTGTCTGCCGATAGGGCTGACATGAACAATTACGCATGAACAAATAGTGATTTCAAAGCACACTTTTGGTGGACTGAGTGACCTGAGGGAGTGACTTACGGGAAGATGTGTTCATAGCTGGACCCAAAACTGTAGATGTTGAAATAGCAGCCTAGTGGTACGCTCTTCAACAGGAGCAGCAGAGTATCCTTAAGGGAGGAGAGAGAAGATGGTGAAGGTCACTGGGTGAGAGAGACACTATGAATGATTCTATGATAGAAATAACACATAATTAATACCCTGGCACTCTTTATTTGTCCACCACTCATACTGCCAGATCGATCCAATAAGAAGACAAACTCTCCACATGAAGCGACTGAAGACGTCACAGCCTGGGGGAACTCAGGGTACAGGCTCAGCATCACTACTGGATCACCCATCAGAGTGCCTGAAACACAGAGGAGAAACAGAAAAATATACACAACTCTGCACTCAGCTATTTACAAATCGAATACTTACACATTACATCAGTTTGAATGTAATGGCCTTGCTATTTGCAAACACCTTCTCTAACAGTCCCTCACCAGGCTTGGAGGAGGCCTGTCCTGCCTCCACCACAGCAGTGGGCTGGTGGGCATCATTGTAATAAATCAGCAGTTCAACATCTCTGTCAAACTTGTGTCCTGCAGCCAACTTGACCTGCAGTTCACAAAACACACTGATACATGTAAATATTGTGATATATCTTTTTCTCAGTGACAAGAAACAATCATCACTAGAACTCTACCTACCGCCACCTGGGTTTGCTCTGTGTTGAGGTGCTGGAGAGGGTCCAGGGGACAGTTGGACTCTACTTTAGAGACGGGACGAGGAGAGGACACTCGGGCAGAGAAAGACAGACTGTAGGGCACCAGAGAGGCTGGAACAGAGGTCACCTGAACGTTGCCACCTTCACTACCTAACATGAGACAAGTTTGAAATGATGTAATCAAAGAGGTGTTACAAACTGAAGTCCTTTGGTCCAGTTGTAACTATGACACAGGGAGACTAGATCAGTGAAAGTGCAATCAAAATAATATTGAAGACTTTTTGTGATTCTAAATAAGGAACAAAAATACAGAATAAAGTGTCCATCCAAAAGATACATAAATAAAGCTTATTCTCAAGTAAATGTGCAAATAATGTCATGAGGTGCATTAGAATGTGGTGTGCACTAAGTTGAAGCTTAGGGGCTCCTGATGAAGGTGTTGGCTGGTTTTCCTACCCTGAGGTTCGTAGCGAGGGTTGAGCACAGCAGGCAGACAAAACCTCAGCCCTTCATCAGCCTGCACAGCCAGCTCAATGACGTACTCCAGCCTGATGGAGGCGCTCTCTCCTGGAGGCAGACTGCCCACACTCAGAGAGAATATATCTGGACTCTGCTCACTCTCCTCCAGCAGGAAGGCCTGCTGACCGGAGCTCAAAGCATCGTCATACTCCTCACGAGCCTGAAACACAGATGACACATGTGAGCAACGTATGCTGTGTTTTAAAGCTCCTCCGTCAGTAACTCTTTAGTGTCCAGCTCACCTCCTGTTTCTCCTTCACCTCAGCTACAATGTGTGTCTGTCCAATCTTAGCACTGAAATGACAGACAGCAGCATCTCCAGGCAGAGGGAAGACAAAAACAGCCTCTAGTGGTTTGTCCTCCTTGTTCTCATAGTTCAGAGTGGAGACCACTGTAGCCACATGGTCCCTCACCTCCAGCTCCACCTCCACGCTCTTCAGAGGAACTGACCGACAAACAGAAGGAAACGCAATGAACGCAACATGTTTTCCTACATTGTTGAGGTTTACTCTTCACTGAATTGTTGCATTTCGGCTACACTAGAGGTGGACCTGTCAACCAAGATGTTTAATAGTGTGACATATACATATAAAAATACCTTTGCATTTGAAGTTTACACAAGTACAAAAAAGTTATGGAGGTTTGTTTTCTACCTGGTTCCTTCTGGGAGGTTAGCAGACCACAGCAGTTCACCATCATACCTGTACAACAATCAACAAGGACACCTGAGGACTTCATGCTGCAGAGATGGATGGTAATGTACTGTACAGTCTGGACATTCAGCAAGCAAAATACGTGTTTATGAAAACTAATAAACATTATTTGTACATTATACATATACATATATGTAATATACATATTTGTATATAAATGCCACCAAAACATATAGGAATTACGGTTAAACATGCTGACCACAGGACTGAACATAAGAACATAAAATCCCAACGATACATTTTATAAATTCACTGCACAGATCACCAAAGTTAAAAAATAATAATTAATTATTATAATTAATAATAATAATAATAATACATTCTACTACCGCTGTACCTCTCTGCTCCGCCCTTCCTGGTTCAGTCTGCGCATTGATTCTTTTAGCTGTAAGTGTTCATTATGAAACTGTTTAGCCTATTTAAATAGATCTGGACAGCTGTTCGCTTAATGTTACTGATGAGACTATAAATCGAATCTCTGACGGGAAATTACAGATTAAGATGACAACAGTCTGATGTTCATTTATTTTATTTATTAACGTAACTTCTTCTTTATTTCTTTTGTTATGGTATCACGATATTCCAGTAAATTTATTGTACAAATTCAAACCCACTGCGACATCAACATATCCAGCATTAATACAGGTTGCGCAGTGTTGTGGGCCGACTTAGTATCGATAAACAGACTATTTAAATAGACGCACAGCAGAAGAATGCCTACCTCTGAGGACGGATGTCTTCGGGACAGTCTTACTGAACTTCCCTCTTGTAAATATGTGGAGACAATTTGCAGATTTCTAAAGCAGAAAGATAAAAACGTGAAAGTGAAAGTCACGCCTATCGGGTACGCTCGATTTCGCAACAAGAGAGTACCGGGTGGGTGGAGCTTAAATATGCAACATGAAGTTCCAAAGTTTTTATGCAAGAAAAGAAATGTCTGACTCCAGTTTTATTCCAAAAGCCTCTGAAGTGCTGTACGTCCTTACAATTGTATTTGGTGAAAGGTTGCAGATGTTACTTGAAATCACAAAAAACAACTTTCTCTGTTAAAATGGAGCAGACAGCACAAAGTTCCCATTCATAATCCCAACACAGCCCACACAAAAATGCAGCACAGTTCAGTTACTGCTGCCAGCAGTTCTTACCAGAGGTGGGACCTCATTGTAATAGAGCTAAATCCAGGTCAAAAGTTTTGTTCATTTGAAAAAAAAAGTGAATGTATTCAAAATAAAAAATAAGTGAATGAAAAGTTGTTTTGGGTTGAATGGCAACTACACCAGCAGATTAAACTGGGGTGAAATCTGAAACTGAAAAATATAAGAACTCAAAAATCTAAATATATATGAAAGTGAAAAATGAAAAAAAAAAAAATGTATTCAAAAAAATTCCAGAACCCAATCAAAATTATATTCAAGCCAAAAACCTTTTCATTCACTTATTTATATTTTGAATACATTGCTGTATTTTTCAATGTTCAAGACCACAACTTGAACTTTCAGGTTCACATTTTCTTTTCAAATGAACAAAACTTTTGACCTGGATTTAGCTCCATAATTGTCAAGCAAACTCTCAAAATCTAAACTTTGAGTGCTGAGTCCTAAACCAGTCATAATGCACTCTTCACTAAATGCAATGCCACTTTAACTACCGAGTAATAATGATTTACATTTACAAAAATCATGAATGCTCTTTAAAATGTTTTCATTTGTTAAAACAAATGCGACTGAACAAAAAATAAATAGTGCTGACATTTTATTTTGTGTTTCTGCCCTGTCTTGTTATATTTAACTGTTAAAGTGATATTTTTAT